TGACAGGACGACATGTCATTTTCAAGTTAAATTATCAAGATTTCACAAGATAAATACTATTTCAAATTCCAAAAGACATGTGGGAATGAAACCTAAGAAGTGAAACAATAATATGTTATTTCATGAGTCAAAGCCTGTTGCTGTGAGTTGCAACTATCTTGGGCATTTACATGTAATTCAGAAATTGAAAATAAGCATTGCTGAGTAAAACCGACGTGTTCACAGTGACTGTGCTGATCGGTGTTGCATAGGAAATTTCAAATGAAAGAGAAAATGTTGGTCTCTTCTAACAAGCTTCGCGTCATCTTGGTAGAGATTTTACAAGGGTTTGGAATATGCCTGGGAAAATACACATGTCCATTCATCCAGAAGAAAACATTCGTTACATCTATGGTGACTGATGATGAACCTACAAGAGGGCCTCCCGGTTCTCGCTCCTCCCAAAGCTTTTCAATAGGGTGGAGCTCAGGGCCCATAGTTTCTTCCAAATCAAATTCGTGGAATTCATAATTGTATGGAATTTTGCCTTGGACACAGCAGTAGTCATACAAAGAAAAGGGCTGCCCAGGGTCCCCAAAGAATGTAAGAAGCACACATTTGGCAAACATATCTTCATAAAATGAGGAATGGAACCCCTGACATATTCATCAATAGATTTTGAGGAGTATTCATCCATTTGTTTTGTAAAGACGAGGGTGCGCATACTTCCTTATAGTTTCAAGTTAAAGGAAACACTCAGTTTTAGTTGTACTTGCACTCTCGTAACTGTGGGGGGAGGGGGAGGAGAGTAACAATGAGATTGCAAACATTCCCGAAACAGTTTGTCCCTGAGCAGCTAGTTGTTCAAGGATTATAAATGTGTTGTTTTTGCTGCACGTTCATCCTTGTAGGAGGAGAATTTTGGACTCTCAATACTCTTATGGGACTATGAAGTCAGAATGGGACAGAGTTTGTTTCTATGGGTGGATTACATGTGACGTGAGTCAGAAAACATTTACAAGAACTGTAAGGAGCTTCATTTGGGGAGAGCAGGGGAAACAGGCGAAAGAGAGATTCCGTCAGACCACAAACCCATTAAACATTAACAATGAGCATGTGTGCTTTTACGAACATATTGAAGTTGCCAAAAGCGAGGAAAAACTCTCCTCTCAAATGTTTTGCTTTGTTAATACTGCAAGTAGTTTAAGAAAAACTTGCTTTATTCAGTTGCATTCTCTTACAGTATAGGACGTGTACAATCTGCAGCACTAAATACTATGACTGCATTACAATTCAATCGCTTTTTTTCATTACTTCACAACTGGCAACGAAACATGTTTTGGCAGCAGTTTGGAGCAACTGTGTACAAAACTATTTTGATGGGATTTCCTTGGATTACCAAATTTACACACTAAGCAGTCAAACTGCTTATTAGGCATTGCATTAACGCTAATTAAGTTTTGAAAGTTTAAACATATGCTTCTCTTCATTATGTTTACATGTCATTTTCCATGTTCTCTTATGCATTTGTATTTTTTTTCAGTGCTTTTGTTCGTTAGAGATCCATTAGCTATTGTGCTTGAGCTGTGTCTACTGTTATGACTGTATTTGCTCTCTGTGTGAAGGGGGAGGTGGGTATGGGGGGCGTGGGGATTGCATTTTGTTTTTCAATTTTTAGATTGAGATTTTGTTGTGTGTGTGTGTGTCGTTCCCCCCATTTATCTCATCTTGCTTGCATTGCCAAATGGGTGGATTTCCCTCAGAAATGCATCTCAGATTTTTGGCCCATGTGAAAGTCAGGACGTGTGCAGGCCAACAAAGTCTCTCTATGTGATTGTTTTCCTGCACAGCAACCATACCCAACCCTAATACCAATACTGCTAAGATGCAGTGCCAAACCATGTGCATGCGGTTGTTTCGTGTCTGTTCTTGATGAGCTCTTCTTTAATTGAATGTGGTAGCCCTTCATTTTTTTTTCTCTATTCTGATGATGATGAAAGCCACCCAATTTACCTTTACATGGACTGTTGCTCCACAGCTTTGTAAGGGAGGACTCTATTTCCGCAGATGCCCATCCCCACTTGAAAATCAGCCCAGATGTATTTGGTGGACACGATTTTTCCATAAAAAGTTTTACTTCTATTCAGTACCCGATTCCATATGTGAATCTCAGCGATGCTTCCTGAGAATGAGTCATCCTTCAAATGAGCCCCCAAAGGTGTCCTGCTCCTGACCGATAATAAAAAGGCCATCTGGCCTAATGCTGTCAGAAATGTTCAAGCCATCCCCACTGTAGATAATATGACCATCAGCTAATAGTGTCCAGCGTCCACCATTTTGATTCCAAGAAACGCGAATCCAGTGCCAGGAGCCGTCAGGGTTGAAAATTTTCTTGGTAAGCACCATGAATACCATGAACTAGCAGAGCCAGCTGCACAGGCTTTCCTTGGATCAGATTTACACAGAGCTGGAACTCATTAATATATTACTGGGTGGAATAAGAAACAATGGTGGAAATTGTAAAGCAGTTAGTCAAAACTTAAATAGGCACACAGAAACAATGCACCCATGGAAGAAAACTTGTGAAGAGGGCGGACTTTTCTTCCGGTCTGAGCGGCGGCTGAACTCCAGAGTCAATGTTTCAAACTCTTTTTTTTTCTCCACCCCACCGAGACACAAAACAGAGACATTGCTACAAAACAAAACAGCCCTGCATAACCCTCTATCACGTTAAAAACAAATATTTTAAAAGCTAGTGCAAACTTAAGTGTAGCTAGAATACAGTGGAACCATTCGAGTCGAACACAATATATTACAGTACGATTTCAAAACCCTTCCACGTAAAAAAGTCAGAAAAACAGAGATAATCAATTCCAGTATCATACTGCTATCATCATAAAAAACTGTAGAGACAATATTACTGGCACTCAGTCTTGACTGATGAAGGTAAAAAAGAAGGTGGTTTGCATGGAAAATGCACTTTACACACCATTTTCTAACATTCTTATTTTTCACACGTGTAATTCTTCTTTCATACATCTATCTGCAAATGCGCCCTTTTGGATTAAGTTTTTCAAAATGCCAAAGAAAAATAAAAAAGTGTGAGGTACTGCACAGTAAGGTGTTTTGTGTTGTGATGTAACGCATAAAGACAGCTCAGGAATGAATAATGAACCTACTTTGCAGAGTTGTGAATTTCTTGGCAATCCACACAGCTTTGGAGATGTTCACGGACTTTAAATAGTTCTTTATCTGTTGCTTCTCAACTGGACTGGAAATGCTCACTAAGGCCCCAGAGCGCTGGTAACACAGTTCGTCTGCACTGTCCCATTGCAACTCATCAGGTATGTATTCATAGGAGGTCTCCTCATATGTAAGTCCTCTGGTTTCCAATATAAGAGCTGTTAAAATAGAAAACTGCCATTAGTGGGGATGAAAAAAGTAATAATTGCTCATGATTGATAGTAATATCCCATATAAGACCAAACACTGTATTTCATAAAAAAAAAAAAATTCACGATTTTTTTGCAACTGATGAAATTGAGCTCTGTGTCGTGTGCCATGTGAGACAAACTCTGTTGTGTTTTGGCGCGATATGAATAAACTTGAATTGAAATTTTAAATTGAACTGAGATCTCAGGAATACTGTATTAGGAAGATAAATAGATATTTGACATATTCCTTGCATTGCAAGACAAAACAAACAGAGTGATCTTTTAACCAAAAGCATATGAAACACCACAGACAAAAACAAAACAAAAACACTGTGATCATGAACATAGGAACACATTTTCGATATGGATTATAAGCGATGCGCATAATGACTAGCGGAACTACAGCATCAAAATGAATACTAACATTAAATAAGAATTAAAAAGAAACACTCACCTGATATAAAGATATGATAACACACCTGAGGAAAATGGCAGTTTGTTTAGTTAACTTACATTCATCAAATAAATAAATAGGTGCTTGTATATATCTAGTTTTATACTTTAAATTGACGGATGATTTGCATTGATAAGTACGGAACCAATATGGTAATTTTTTTTCAAGTTGCAACCAGCGAGACAGCATCTTTAGTGCAAACATTCATCCAATATAAGCATTACATACTATAATTGTCAAAATATTCAGAAAAAAATACTTACAATCAGTCTTATATTAGGAGACATTAACCAGTGCATTCTGAAAATCAAAAATCGGCGTTTTTTTAGAATTATAACGCCAATGTCTTCATAAATAAAATAAACGTGGCGTCTTACCTCAGTGATTGTCCTGGAAACTTTTAGCACGTCTCATCTTAACTCTCCACTTTAGCGTCAGGTTTACACGATAGAGGACAATAAAGTACTTCTTTTTCTCAAACACTGCTGCATTGAAGTAAACCGAAAGAAGTTTTTTTAGTAGAATGAGAAAGCGGTGGGATCTCTAAAGAGGGTGTAACAAGCAGAGGACAGCGCCCCAAAGTTGGGTTCATCGAGCCTCTGAGGTCCTCGAGCGTCTCTCGACACGGAGCGGTTTGAGGTTTGCTCGATGACGTCATTCACGGAGCATTCATCATTTTGGATGTTTCCTTCTTGGCGCTACAGTACCTCGCCGGCAGATGTAATGTTTGAAATCACGTGCTACAAAGCGCCGAAATACAAACTTGCGATAACATTTGGGAATAAACAGCTGGCAAAATAGTCAACGCAGAAATTTGATCTGAATTTTGAAACCGATTGCATACCAAGTAGACTTAATAACTTAGCCTACATACTAAACTTTAAATGTGGTTTCAAAACGCAGAAGCGTTGCAAGGAAGGATGCAACTTTCTCATTTTAATGAGTTTATTTGTCAAGTCTCAACCAACGTTTCATGAAGGGCGCTGACATAACAGCTACATATCAGTCATTATTTTTACAATATATCCAAAATGTTACAAATCCATGAATGTTTAAAAATAACAAAAATCAAATTTTAAAACACTGAAAAAACATTTTGTGAGTGCAAATACATTTTATGCTGGAGCAACACAATAAAGCTGCTTATTCATATTGTATTATTGTAGATAGCAACAGTCTTAATTTCCTCTCTCATAAGCTATTACACCCAACGTGGGCTACCATTGGCCACAACACCCGCAGGGAGGGAATGTACAAGCTTATTAATGGCTCGATTTCCGTCTGCAGAGCGAGAGTTGCCATATTCCCTAGGATCATCTTTGCTTTCTTCTAACATGACGGTGTTCCTGTTCTCGACAGCTTCCGGCTGATCCCAAGGCAAAGTCAGAGACTGCAGGGCACGGTGCAGCTCATCTTGTGCAGCCATCAGAGTTTGGCCAGAGGAAGGATGCAGAGAAAGCCCAACAGCTCCCTTGGAGAAACCACTGATAATCTCATCAACAGTCTTGGCGGAAGAAGTGATGAGCTCTCTACAGCTGCTGAACGCAGAGTGTCGATCTTTACCTGGGGAATGATTGCAAGCAGTTAAGACGGGAAAGTCTCTCCCACAATCGTCAACCTTGTAAAATTGAATAAGCCATTGATTCCAAGTCAAAAAAGTTTGAGGGCTTTTTTTCATATGCACACGTGGCAGCTGGCATGCATCAGAAATCTCACCTTTCAGGGTGTTAGACAAAGAGCAGTGCAGCTCCTTGATGGCTTGGTTTAACTTGAAGAATGTGGCTGCTGTAGCCCTCAAAGTCTGCAATTTAGAAACTGAAGCCTCTTCGTCTCTTTCGTCTTCGTTTTGCTTGTCATTTTCACGCTCCTGCTTCACACCATAAACATAGACATCCCGCACAATAAAGATACATTTCATCAAACAGTGAGTGCGGGAATCCACTCAAAAGACTTACACTTCCAAAGACAGAACATTGAATTAAATTTCCAAGCAAATGGCTGAGAGGGTGATTGAACTTGATTACCACTTCTCGCACTGAATACACAGAAACTGTTGTTCAAATTAGATGAAAGTTGGGTTTTTATGGCTGGTTTTAAAAGTTGTGAATTTTTTTTTCTCTACTAATTTGGAAGTAGAGAAATCCTTGCAGGATTTGCACCCAGCGCGGTGCCTATCCCCGATCTACTATGTACTGCAACAGGGTGTGTCATTTAGGCCAGAAAACAGCAAGTGTTTCTAAATTGAAGGAATAAATGTCAATACACAGTTGTCAACACTTCAGCATATTTGAGTTGAGGTCAAACTCACCGTAATACGACAATGGATGTAGTTCTGCAGGGAGCGGGCTAAATCAAGCATCTTGGACTTGAGGCACTGCAGGACCTGTAAATAAAAATGAATGACAGATGTTAACCTGGATTTCACTGGTAAATGGATTACGGTACATTAAAAAGGACCACTACCGTCATTTCCCAAGAACATGTTTTTTTGTTTTTGCAAAGTAAACCAAAATTGAGGAGTATAATTCATAGGTTAAAAGAAAAAAAAAACATTTTTCATTCAAATATATTTAATGATTAATATTACAAATTTATATATAACAATGTGGTGATTTTGACATAAATTAGAGTAATTTCCCCACAGAACTAAGGACCAGTTATTATGTTCCACGTGTGTTTTTGGCATCCCGGATTTCTGGGTTACTTCCTTTTTCATATTGCACCGTTTCTTGAAGTAGAAGTTAAAACAATTTTTGTTACACACTGTGAATCAAAGAGCAGCACTAGCAGGGCCATTCTATAGCTGTTATCATGTGATATCTGTTGCCACCGAATCCGTTTGACTAACATGGCATCAAACTTAGTGTCTTAGGTTACTTAGACAGCAGAAATGCTCATCCGTTAATTTGTATTATACCTTGCACACGCGTGTAATGATAATGATTATTTACACATTCATTACACTAAGTAATTGCTTCCGTAAATGGAAATATGAGTGTCGTCAGCACATGAGCAGCAGATCAAGGTAGGCGTTTCCGGTTTCCTGTACTTTAGGGACCTTTCTTTGGAAAAAAATACAATAAAAATTACTACGAGAATAATACTTGAGTTTTTGAGCATTGATTATTTCAGTGTGTGTTATTCTTGGGAATTGACAGTTATAAATATACAATTCTGAGACACAAAAGAGATAGGCGAACCAAACCAAAAATGTTCTTGAGCTTACTGGGTCCCTTGGATGAGCAAGCTGAGCCTCTCTCATCATTTCTTTGGTGGTGATGAGGCTGTCTTCTAAAACGGAGTTGACACCTTTATTTGTTCCTTCCAGCAGATGTGCTACGAATGATGCCTGAAAAATATGTGAATGTTTCAATGATATTTAGATGTACAGTATTTCCGTAAGAGAATATTGTAATAAAATGGCTGTCTGAAAAAGCCTCCCACAAACCAACGCACAAAAATAATCCAAATTTAGATCAGCACCACAGATGTCTATTTCACCATGGAGACAATGTCTTATCTGCTCATAAAAGAAGCGAAAAGCTTTTAGATTCAAAATTTGCTATTTTAAAAACGGGATAATACTGAAAGACACACGAAACTTAAAGACGTCTAACACCCTCAAAGATTTGTGGATCTTGATTATTATTTTTCTTTTTGGGGGGGGGGCAGCATCAGCAACAAATCTCCTTGGCTAATAAAATAAATATACATACATTGAAAAAGGAATTACATTTTCTGATCTCTTTACAAACCGAACTTTGACAAGTAAGAAAATGTTATTCTTCTTTTGTTTTTTTTCTGAAGCTACACACGATATTTGATTTACAAGGCCTATGTAAGTAAACAAATAAGTTCCAAATGCTTAGGTCAAAAGGGACAAATGAACAAAGCAATCCCCACCCCCCCAAAAAAAAAGAGGAGCCACATGCATGTGTACTACCACTTAAAATCCAAGTTATTTCGTTAGTATACATCCTGCAACTTCAAATAGATGCATGGCATTATAATTGAATGACATCACAAATTTCAATAACTTTTTTTTTTAATCTCAGAGCTCTATACAAGTAATGTTCTATTCCTAGGTATTGTTGTATCTGGGCTTAATTACGGCAAATCCCAGAGCCAGACGGAGGCTGATGCTACTGCGGTATTAATGGTGATATTACCTTGCCTGTGGCCTGGATACCCAGCTCCACATCACTAAGTGGCATGCCTGACAACACCGCCAGGTGGCTGAGTGCAAACAATGCTGCACCCAGGCACCGACCGCTCTTCTTTCGTGCTTCACCCACCATTGATGAGATCTCAGATTCGCAACCCTAAACAGGGAGATTTTCATTTTCAGAAAACATCGAGGAAGCACAAAATAACAGGAGGACTTTGAATTGATTTCGCAGTGAATCGATGCAAGCAAGTGAACAAATGGGTGGAATATTCTGTAGGGCTCTGTAAATAAATGAAAACATGGATGAAAAATTTGGACTGAGAAGAAATTTGTGTTTAGGTACTGAGGCTCATAAGGAATTTAGATTCATTTTCCATATATTCATGTTCTGTTTGAGGCTCAAGGTTGACAATTCCCTCTGCTTAGTCATTTCCATAGACACAGCTCAAACAGCTCAGAGCCAAGTTCCATCAATCAATGATTTGAATTTTTATTAACCACCCTACACCAAAATCAAAATTATTTGCCAGCTAAGATTTTTCTCACTCAATTAATTGAGATAGTGTTTAATGGCTTGGACAAGTGCGAGAAGGACGAGTGAATTCATTTATCTTCACCTGAATGAGCAGCTGCAGAAATCCTCCCATCTTCTTGACTTGGCACTTGAGTTCCTCAGCAAGAGTGTAGAGTGTGCCGGAGGAGGCTTTCACACTGGCCAACCACTGCATGATGACAAACACTGCACTCTCTGTAGCTGCGGTGGCCCTGATCAGCTGAGTCTGAGCCGACAAGTTACACACAAACACTGAGGGGGCGGGGGAAATGAGAAAAGATTAGACATGTCAGTCAATTGTCCTAACCTGACATTCCCTTCCTTATCAGTGCAGAGGGTTACTTTTCACATTATCTTACTTCACCATCAGTAGACAACCCTGTGTTTGTTGTTTTGTCTTTTCAGTAAATGTCTTTCTTCAAGAAAATTATCGAGCATGATGGATTATAGGACACAGGATTCATTTAGCGCCTGGAAATCGGTTCTATGGGGACTTGGATGTTGTCAAAATGTCACTCATCTGGGTGGAATATTGTTTTGAGCTCTGATTACAAATACAACGGATGTTTAATGTCAAGAGACATGGTTGACTCACCATTTTCTTGGCTGTCATCATCTAAACTGTCATACAGTTCAGATATGGTCTGGATAGCTGTGTATACCCAGTGCAGATCCGAGACCAATCTATCAGCCAAGCTCTCTTTAGTGCCTCCAAAGCCACGTAGACGGGCTACTGATTGGCCCACCAGCTCCTTGCAGATACCGGGCACTGAAGATTCTGTGGAACTGCAACGTGTGGAGGGCGGTGTGGCAACGCCCATTAACCCTGGGACAGACACCATGATCACTTGGGGTGTGAAAAGATGACTTCACCAGATCTTTTTTTTTTTTTTCTTAAACAACAGCACGTCATATTAAAACACGTAATTTGTCACATAATCCTTTAGGACTCCTTTTTTATTTCAAAAAGGCAACACCCCTGGATTGCAAGTTACCGGTTAAAAAAGAAGCAGAAGCAGCATTTGAGTTTGAGAAAGAACATTTTCATGATTCCCAGACTATATTCCCAGGGAACTGACTGGTGTGTCTTATGCATTTAAATTGTGAAAACAGAGAGAAAAAAAAAGTCATTTCAAATTATTAGACTTACCATCAGAGTGGGAAGAGCCCTTAAGAAGACTCTGAATGGGATGAACACGGATCTCATAAAGACGCCCTGAGATTCTCTTGCCCTTTAATAAACTCCTGCTCCTAAAACAAAACAAAGCCAAATGTAACATGATTATGATCGTTAGAGCTGTCGTTTTCCTTTACCTACCATAGGCATTCAACATCTGTGACACAGAAACTACTAGCGTACTTGTTTTCTTCATGACATTTCATCTTGTTTTCAGAGCAACTGACAACTTTTGTCCATTGACTCTGACATATATTCTCTGAATTTCACAATTGCTTGTTTTTCCACCAATAGACAGCTCCCTATTTTTCATGTTAGTCAAGTTTTTTTTCCTGGATATAAAATTTGGAGGCAGCCAGCCACATCCGCGTAACTTCAGGCTGCCTCCCGTTCTAAAACCTCTGACCTCATGAAAACAGTTATTTGTACACCATTAAACTGGTTGTGTGTCAAATGTAATTTCTGCCTCAGTCTGGGTCGGCAATGTCCTGTTGACTGCACATTTAACCCGCATAAATGTAGTTGCAAGAGGAAAAACCCAACTCTGAAACCCAGTACTATTTATTGCTTGAATCATGCATATACCAGTAATTGGACACACCACGGCAACAAAAAGCTGTCAGGCACATGTTACAATACTTGTGTTAAATGTTAAAGGGTCAGATCAAACAAAAAGGATAAATCTTCTACGTTCTAGGAACCCAATGTTTTTTTGTAGCAAAAATAAGGAACTGACCTCACTGTTTCAATCAGGGAAGGTGTTTGGGATAAAATTTACAATAAATAAATAAGCAAGTAGTAATTTGTTGGAGGCAGGCCACAGGTAAAACACATACATATCGGTGGAAATGAAGGAGCAGCTAAAATAAGTACTCGATTGATGAAAAGAGAAAGTTGAATAGTACCTTCGACGTGAAAAGGTGGAAGACGAAGCAGAGGAAGATGATATATCTTGCTCCCACTCATCATCAGGGGCATAGAACACATCGTCATTTTTCGAAGATGGATCTCCCTACAGAGAGGGAAAAAAATTAATAAATACTGTCGAGGCACAACTGGATTGGAATTTTAAATTTAGAAAAATTGTACATTATTGTTAGAATTTAGATATATTATCATTCAACAGTGAAAGTAACCTGTTCCATTTCTCTCATGACAGCCATGTTGTTTTGAAACTTATCCAAGCTCCAGAAAGTAGAAATCCCCAGCTTTGTGTTTTGGACCCGCACTTGCAACACATCCCCTTGGACATTGTCGGAGCTCTCATGTCTACAAGCACAGTAAGACCAAAAAGAAATAAACACTTGGATTTTTTGGTGTACTGTTATGTGATCTTGTATACCTGCTGAAGATTGTGTTTTTCTTCAAGTTAGCGCTGATCTTATTGGCTTCTTCAACCATCAAGGAGAGTTTCATTGCATCCCAGCGTGGAGACGCTGCAATAAAGACATGACGCAAAAAACAAAAAAGTTCTATTGGATTGCATATACAGTAAGCATATACAAAATAGTCAAACTGAATTTTAGAATAATCATCACTTCAGTTGTCATGAAAATTTAAAATGTGTATTTAGTATTATCTTGTTTAGTTTGTATTAGATTCTGGACAGGAGATGTACAAAATGGTTCTGGGGCAAAACAATAAACCAGTGTCCAGCCAAATTAAGATCTTGCTGCTTCTCGCAGCTACGGACGCTGATTGGCTGTCAGCGGTCAGATGATTTTCCAGACCCCATCTTGTGGCTCTTAGTTCGCTGATGTGGAATTCAATAAATTTTCGTGAATATTTCATTCTTTTTTGAATAAATACTGTGAAAACGGGGACAAGTACGGCTGTAGGATGTCACGCGCAAAGTGGCAAAGGCATGAAGCTCCACAGATTTAATTGGATGCCAAAAGACGGATAGTACGGGCAGAGTGCTCACCAGGATGGTTCGAAATGGAATGACAACTCCTATATTTGTGATGTAACTTTATTTTTCCCTTAGTAACAATTATGTAAGTAGAAAACCATAAAAATCAATAGACAAGGCAGAGAAGTTAGTTGAGCTACAACATATTTTTTTTCGATTGTCCCTCAGGCACCACATAACCCCCTCGTCTATTTATTGTTTGTCCACATATCGTGGAACTGACTATTAATTCCGCCATTTCATAAAAGGTGGGTTGTAATTCTTAGAGGCTCAACGTTTGGTTTGAGAAGACAAAGTTGCTCGAAGGACTCGAGCGTCCCCCGCTCGAGCCCTTCAAATTGATTTCTTCAATGTCATTTTGAGAAAGGTTGAAAATAATGGTTTGAGTGGATAAGGTATTTTTGAAATTTATGGCCGGCCCACCCAACTGTGTCGGTACCTTCTCACAGCAGCCCATTTCTAGAGAAGCGCAGTTCAGTTTGGATTATTTGTAAAGTGGTTGAACTGGCGATTTACTGGTTTTGGGTTACTCATAAGAATACTATCAAAAATCACAATGTGTTCTCAGTCTTCCCGAAAAAATATAATCAAAAATAGTATCAATATGAAAAAAGTAAGTAAACCAGCGGCATGATCGCCTTTCAGTCCATGTGTACAGCAATTTTCATGATGAAATTCTCATTAGTGAGGGCGTAGGAAAAAAATGCGCTAAGGCGCGTATTGTCACACAGCGTGCGTCTCACGGGCTGGGCTGCAAGATGGCGCTGGGCGAGCGAGGTGGCCAGACTCAGTTTATATATTGTGCTGATTCCCACTACGATCCAAAACTGAGCTTGCTCATGAGGTTGGGCGATTTATACTGATCCGCAAAAATGACTCACCATCTTTTGGAGTGTTGATTAACCTCATAGCTCGCTTCCTCTGCATTTCTTCAAGCTCTTTGCTGAGCTTTCTCTTCTCGAGTTCCAATGCCTCAACAATCTTCGCTTGAGACACATGGTGTTCCTCCATCACCTTAAGTAAACAACGGTAATGAATATTTGAAATCGATCGTATCTCGATTCCATTTAAGTTGTGATACTGAAAGAGGTCCAAGACAAATTTCATTTATTTTTATGACACACATTTGGTCCAAATGGCCTGTTTTTAACCTTCAGACGTAGCTCCTCATGCCACTGTTATTTCAGAGCCCACAATGGTCTGTGTGGGAGTATATTTCAACATTTTGGTGGCGCAAAACCTGTACTGCACAATCCAAGCCAGCTTTCCACTTTTAAGTGAAAGTGTTTTTCTAAACCCTGACCTGGGCCTCCATGTGTAGACGAAGGCGTTTCTTCTGGGAGTCCACCTCCTGCTCTAACTCTATATTGGCCATCTTCAGTTCTTCCATCTGGCTGGCTACCCGTTGCTGGTCGAGCTCCTGGAGACGCTTACGCTCATTTTCCTCGTTCTGAATGAATGACAATGAATACACTCAGGACCAGCGGAAAAGGCAGAGCAAGCATATTGTACGTTCAACTCTGTCAATAGAACCAGTTCCAAATGAAGAGTGAGTGTGGGTGGTTCAAAATCAGTAATATCACAATTATTGTAAGTAGAAAACAAATAATCAACATTAGAGAGTGCAAATGACTTTTCCTCCTTTCGGCTACAGACAAAATTTTCCTGTACCAGCGCTTTTTCCATTGCTCGTATCCTGTCCTCATAGAGGGCCTTCTGGTCGGACAGCTCTTTTTGGGCAACCTCTTTGGCCATCTGGATTCCATGCATCATTTCCTTTTTGGCCTTCACCTGAGCCTCTTCAATTTCTGCCTCCAGCCTGAGAGACAAAAATATGACCTTGAAGGTAATTGCGCTTAAATACTGATATTCAGTCGAGATAAACAGTGGGATCAAAAAAATATATACAGTACAGTGGACCGGTTTGGCACCTGCCGATTCGCCGATTTGAGGTTTTTTTTGTTTCTCGTTTTTTCTGGGGGGGACATCCCCCATTTTTCATGGAAAATGTGTTGGCTCTTTATCCCGATTTTTCTCAGAATCATTGGGGCTAAAATATGTTTTTTGTTCTTCAAGGTATATAAGATGGGCATCAGTTATATGCAGATTTTTGCTTTTTGCAGGGAATAGTGAACAGGCCGGCCCGCAGGCCGCCGCAGGGGTCCACTGTACAGTTGTTTTGTGCCTTTTTCACGTACTTAGCTCTCTGACCCGCAAGCAGCTCATTTTTGGCAAACTCAAAGTCTTTGTAGCCATCGCTTGCACCTGTCCAACATGATACTCGCTTTCCACTCTGCACCTCTGCTGGATGGTTGAAACGTAAGTAATGGTCTCCACCTAGAATCACCCTGTCTCCCTGGAAACAGAAATTATGAAACAAATGTACAGATTACAAAAACATATTGATAAACCGTTTTAATTCAGATGATATAGGTTTCCTCAAAATTTGCCCATGAGACACTCAATTTCAAATGAAACACACCCTATTCTGCGTACTTACGTGGTGCAAAACAGTTGATTCTGATATTAACTTTCCATTCACAAAGGTCTTGGCATTTTCCATGGGAGTGATGCTGATGGTACCGTGAGTGTTGTTTATAATACTGTAACAAAAAAGACACCCATTACTCAGATAAAGGTGCGGTATATGGACCTTTTCCCACATTGCCTAATACTGTGTTTTGCTTGTCTTTATTTTTTATCTATTTATGTTAATGTGTGGGTTATGCCTTTTTAAAAACAATCAAGCATGTATTAAAAAGAAATACTACAGATTACAAAAACATATTGATAAACCGTTTTAATTCAGATGATATAGGTTTCCTCAAAATTTGCCCATGAGACACTCAATTTCAAATGAAACACACCCTATTCTGCGTACTTACGTGGTGCAAAACAGTTGATTCTGATATTAACTTTCCATTCACAAAGGTCTTGGCATTTTCCATGGGAGTGATGCTGATGGTACCGTGAGTGTTGTTTATAATACTGTAACAAAAAAGACACCCATTACTCAGATAAAGGTGCGGTATATGGACCTTTTCCCACATTGCCCAATACTGTGTTTTGCTTGTCTTTATTTTAATCTATTTATGTTAATGTGTGGTTTATGCCTGTTTAAAAACAATCAAGCATGTATTAAAAAGAAATACAACATGAATGTGCCACCGGCAGCAGTGTTCTCATGTTTGAAGTTGCATGTGTCTCTTTGTTTTTGTTTTGATTGACTCCTTTTATTGCATTGTCTAAATGTTGCTGACACTGTCTTTTCATATGAACCTGTATTTTAACTGTTTATAAAATCCCATACGGGATTTTCTATAAGCACTACGATACACACATCAGACTGCTGTGCAACACTTTGTGTTTTTGCATTTTACCCTCTCAAATAAACCAAATAAATAAAATGTTTTCGTCTTACAACAGACGCGTTTTATTTCTGTACACGAATGTGGTGATTTATCCCTGCCTTCTCATAAAAACTAAAGACAGAGCACTTTTTTTAAAATCAGTTGAAGCTAAAAACTTTCTAATCAAAAAGGTTTTAGTCTAGATTTGAGGTGTGCCCAAATGAATGAACTTTAACTCTCATACTTAACAGGACCTCTGCAAACTAGGTGTACGTAATGTTGTGGCCGATGATCATTTGCGTTTGTTCTCACCAGTGCTGGTCAGCAATGAGGGCTCCGGTCAGCTGGATGTCATGTGTGCAGTCAGACTTGAGTTTGCCAACTGTAGTTCGACCCTCTTTAATCATGTAGAGAAGCATCTCAGACAGCTGAGGGTCCTCATTCAGGTTAACCAGATTGGGGAGACGGTTATCCACTTTAAATGTCACACCTGATTTCTGCAAGCAAGTAGAGCAAACGATAAATCGCATGGCATTTCAGTTAAGACTAGAGGACTTTCTTTTCAGGGCAACATACCTGCAACTCTTTTGTTTCTTCACGTTTGCGTATTTCCGCTTGCTCAAGTTTCTCTCTCCATTCCCTATATATATAGATATATTTTTTTTAATAAACAAATAAGCCCTTCAAGTTAAATAGTGTCTCTTCTGTATATCAAATGTCCAAAATTTTCACTTTGCTCAAAACGTGCATCTGTGTCCTTTTACTGAGGAATACATCCATCTTTCAATTGTCCACTGCATGCAACACATCTTTTAAAATCAATCCATTTGGCATTCAGCAATATTTTTCAAAAAATAGGGACATCTCAAAATGACACTTTGTAATTATAAACATATTGTTTTGCTGCGAATAAAATATTTTAAAATGAATCAACATAGAGGTTATTGCAACAATGCTGACCTGTTGGCCTCAACCATCTCTCGCTCTTGCTGGCAGAGTTTGTTCTTCAGAGCTGTGATCTCCTGCTGGAAGAGCCTAACCCGCTCCGGTTCAATACCTCGGGTGCTCGCTTGGGCGGCTCGCAGCTTCTCCACCTCCGCCTTCAACTCTGAGCAGCGAGCCAAAGTGTTATGAAAATGTGTTGATGTCTCTTTGAAATCAGAAAGTTACTCAACAGGTAACTCCAGATAAAGTTTGGCTCGTCAAAAGAACATTATGGACCTAGCATTGACCCAAATTGTAACCTCAGAGTCACATCCACTTTAAGTTTCATCCTGCGTCAGGGGACGTGAGCGAAATCCACAGCATTAGCTCCCCTTCGTGCTAAAAATGTCAAACGGGAGCCTGATGATCTAATGAAAAATAATACTTGCATGACAGTTATCCGCCATGTGCGGCTGACGGTGCATAAATATGGCCCGGAGGCAAGGTCAGGGCCCGGCCCTTAATTGAAGTGGGTCGGGCATAAGCTGGTGATGGATAGATGGGCAGACAGGAGGGCATGAGGGAGAGAGGGGAGATCAAGAGCAAGACATAAACAGGAAAGTAAAGAGTCTCATATGAAGAAAGGGAATGAGAAGAACCTACAGGATGTAGGACGGAAGGTCAGAAAGAAACAAAAAATATACTGGAGCAAAACAAAGTACAGTAAGTACATCAGAAGATAAACATCGTTCTCCCTGGGCAGCAAAGTGTGAGTTGCAAAGTAAACACAGATCACACAACTGGTCATCCACACAAACCACATGTCGGTAACAATCCATTCACTCAAATCGCGGCAGCCCAGAGGTCTACTGATTCAAGTCGGTTCTAAAATGCATCAAGAGTATATCTGACCTCGGATGAGCTTTGCATTTGTATCCTCATTGACCTTGGCCACATTTATGATCGTGCGGGCCTGTTGGGCGTAGCGCAGAGTGCTTAAGCTTTCCTCAACACTGCTTCCTGCTGGACTCAGCGTGGCAATCATGGCCGTCTTGGAGTTGCCACCGAGACTCTCCTTTAGGAGCCTGAACAAGAGTTAAAGGTGAGTGAAGGGGAGCTCTTCCCATTAAACTTGAGATGGTGTCGATGTCTTCCACACAAAACGTATGCAATTTATTTGTAACCATCACTTTGATTTATATATTAAAGGCACAAGCGCACTGAATTGACAGTAAAATTAACGTAACAGAAATAAGAAATAAAAACGTAATGAAACATGGAGGTGTTGATTCAAAAGTGCTTGACTGGGAAGTTTGAGTGTTCCAAATGTAAGTGCCTGGTCCAATGCTGGAGTCATTAAGTATGAGGAGTGTTCATAACTTATATACATAATGTGGATATCTGCCATTATTTTTTTTTTTAATAGAATCAAACATAATTACAAACAAGAGGTTCTCTCACCATGTGAGAACAGACTCCCTGTAGGGTATAAAGACCTTCTTCTTAGTTAATGCTTGGTCAGCCAGTGCACAGATGACTTTTCCAAGTGTCAGCAGAGATTTGTTTATGCTGGCACCCTCCTAAAAGGATGGAGAAAATGCTCTTCGTTAATATGACCACTGATTCATTGAAAAGATACAAATTATGTTTGTGATTTAAAAATTACGAAAACAAATCCTGATATTGATATTGCAAGCATGAATGTACGTTTGTACCCGGAGTCTATCTCCACTTGTCTGTGCAGCGTTAGACCGTTCACTGCCTGCCAAGTCCACCAGGTTGATCTTACTGGTGATGTTGTGGTCATGTTCTTCTCCCTCCACCAACTCGGTCTGTGAATCAGCGCAGGTATCATTATCCATACTCATATTTAACGGAATGCATTCTTTATAGACCCAGAAAAATAATCACTAATTTGTTTTCAGGAACTGTACATGCATTCAAGCTATGTGCATGCAGTACTGCACCTTAGTCTGAGTCATAACAAGGGTAAAGACGGAGTGAGATCTGGAGCTTTTATCGTTCATCCCAGTGGCAGCTGTGGCTCTCTGCTTGTTTCCCAGTTCAAACCATCCCTGGACAAAATGATACAGTCAGTTAGAACTTCATCACTAACTGAGCAGCCAAGTACTAATGTTTGATACCAGTGCTGCCCAATCCTGAATGAGCCAAGGCGCCTAATTTTATTTTACATTAGAAAAATTTCACTGCACACCACTGAACAAAAACTTGATGCACTGAAAAATGACAATCTTTCTATTTACTTACAAATTAAATCACGTCAGCCTGACACATGACTGACATTCAACAACCGTTTTGAATCTGAGCTTTTTCTTGGGGACTGATGACTTACTGACCGATCAGTTTGATGCATACTTTTGAAATTTGCTCAAATTCCCTTTAATTATGTGTTAGCAATAATGAATGATATTTATCAATGTGAAGACACTGATCAAGTTCACGATTTCTCACAATAATTTTCATCAATGATTTAGGGTCGGAAACAAACGTCACTTTGCAAAACATTAGTGCTAGAAATCTTATTTTCAAATGATTATTTCCACCACATTCTTCAGAATGAAAAATATATGTTACTTTTAGAACAGGCCGTCGGGGTGCCCTGGTGCCTGCGGTCACAATCTTGGTGACTGCGAATGTAGTCTATATTTACATAAATTCAAAAACATAAGAGGGTTTAACTTACCTGAATGTCACTGTAAGATCCCACAACATTCCTGTGAAGAAACAAAGGGGAGTAATTCTGCAATCAGCATAGGAAAACAAGTCATTCTATACATAAAACAAAAGAATGAATGTGTTCTTACGCTGATAGCTCTTCAACATAGGGTCCATGAATCGGATGCTCCCTCACCCTCAGCTGAAATAACACATGCAAATTTATTGTAGATGTCTAAAAAGGCAACACCAATGACGACAACCATGCCAGTGTGGTTTAGCAGAGGCCAGAAAAAAAAAAAAAAAATCAAGGTATAATTTTGTAAAATGCTCAATACTTACAGGCATCCTCATCTGGTTTGGATCATCTCTGGTCACAAGGAGGTCATGGATTTTCTCATTGTAGACTTCAAAGTAGCTCATCTCGACATGACATTTGACCTGAGGGGAATCCACAACCAAAGTTATCTAATATTTTGCCTATCATCTAATGCCATTTAATTTACCGCAAGTAATTACGGAAACCAAATTTGAAATACCTCCCAATGTGACAAAGTTGTCAACCATTGAAAACTACAACCACAATAACAAACAGCATTAAACATATCAGGAGGGATGATTTACAGCCTTTTTCATTTTTTGTATCGGAACCTGATGGACTGACTGGATGAATTGATGGACAGTTATATCTCTCTGTCAAATGTGCCCTTGCTGTGTTTTAAGTGTCACGAGACAACTTCTGCTGTGAGTTGGCGCTACATAATTACAATTTTATTTAATTGTTAATTTTTTAACTTCTCTGGCATTGTCAAACTTAACCTTGCTATCTGTTTCCGTTTTTGCACAAACCTTTAATTGTCCACCAACATGAATTTAAATTTAAACTTGGTGAATTTAGGTGTACCTAATGAAGTGGTTGGCGAATCATATATCACACATATATCAGTGTGTAACTGCAAGTTCTGTTACAGAGAATCAATGTAAAAATATGCTGGCACATAAAGTACCTGTTCATTTTCCATGGAAGAAAGCCTCAAAAAAAGTTCCTGGCAAAACCGAGGGATAACTCCAGCCTCCTCTCCAAAGCCCATCATCCTGCCAAACAAACATTTAAAATAAAACACAGATCAGCAGACCTTTCAAGCACAACATTCATACACAGAGTTAGGAATCTGAAAAGATGAATGGAAATTAATTCAGTCTGCAAAAATACCCACGTATATGATTTTCCAGAGCCAGTTTGGCCATAAGCAAAGAGGCAGGTGTTAAATCCATCAAAAGCGCAGAGCAGCAGAGGCTTTGCCAGAGCCTCGTACACCATCTGCTGGCTGGCGAAGGAGCGATCACTCGAATCCACAGAGCACAGGGAGAAGTCGTAGGTGAAGGAATAACTTTGTTTTGAGTCTGGATGCTGCACAACTGTCTCCTGGCCATTCATGAAGATAACCTGTGAGGCCTTTTCTGCCTTCTCCCTAGGATGCGCAAGAAACACATGATGTTTTTTTAGCTAGGACAGTTTCAAGTAAAGACATTGCAAACTTTTGAAATCAAGAGTTGTAGATTTTAGTCGCTATTGGATTGTCATTTAGCAAAGGATGATTTTGTCAAGTTTATTGTGTTATGATCAATTACAGATGATGGAGCATGGGGTAAGGAAGAACACGGAAGAATAACACGGTGCCCATCAGCATAAAGGCTCCATCACTAATAATACTTTAGTCGCTGTTATGAGATAAATATTAAAAGAATTCTCTATGAATGTTGTAGCACAAAGCCTCATTTTAAAAGGCAGTTTGCTTTGACAGAATCCATGCAATAATGCAAACACAAACCTGGCATTAAAAGGGCGAACACGCACTGCCACGGTCACTGCACTGTTCTCCATCTTTAGTGAGTCTTGTGTCTTGGAGGTCTCACTGGGACGGGGCAAGGACTGTCTAGGTGCTGTAGCAGACGTGATTGTTGGCGTCCTGGTATTTTCTGGCCTTAAGCAAGAGGTTGTGGCAGTAGCCCTCACCTGTGACGCTGGGGTTCCTTTAAGCACACCTGTCCTACTTCTTCGAGGAACTGGGATTGGTTTGCTGTCCTGTGTTTGCTTGCTCACCCTGTATTTGGACCTGTCTAAACTTATTAATTTGACCGGTTTCGGGGATTCTTTCACAGTCAGTTTCTCGAAGACGTCTCTCCGTGCGGCGATTTTGACAAACGGTGTCTTTTTAGTCGGGGTTTTGAACGTCTGGGATTGCTCATCTGATGGCCTGCCTGTGGAGGATAGTGACTGGGAGGAGGAGGATGGCGTCTTGTTGGGCGCCTGCTTCCCTTGTGTTTCCACTTGATTTGCGGCCTCTCGTCCTTTACTCGCAGTCTCTCTCGAGCTAACGGAGCGGTATAAAGTAGGAGTCCTACCATTGGATTCCTGAAGGACTTGAGGCGTTGCGTGAGAGTTCACACTGCTGACCACACGCGGCACCGTAGCACTTTTATCCATGGAGGGCGTCTTAGGCCTCCGTTGCAAGGTCATTCTCTTCTCGGGTGCTGGTGTGACATTATTTTGGCTGCGCTCCACCACCGTGTCCTCAGCACTATCAGCTCCAGTCTTTCGCCGTGACCTCCTTTGAAGAGTGAGCCGGCCGCGGTAGGGTGTCTGTCCGCTTCTTGACAGCGCAGAGATGACATACGTCCGGTTAAGGCTGCCGCTTTTATCGCTGTCCTCACGCGCAGGGTCCCCGGGTGGTGGATCACACTTGGCCAGACTTTTGACTGCTTTTCTCTCGGCTAAGCAATCTCTGCCTTGGGTCCTAGTCGTTGACATTAGATGGTCGTAGTAAGCTGCGTGCTTTTTCGTCTGTACGCTGAATAACGACATTTTTGACGACTGCTAAGAACTAGACGAAACCCCGTAGTTTGAATTTAGAAACGCAAGCTTCCAGACGTCGCGATGTACCTTTACAACTCATAGAAAAACATTTCACTCAAGATCAAGTCGTCCGCGTCAAAACAGAGACTGTATACTTGTTTACTCCGTTCAATGCGTTGATCTCCGCTTCCGCATTCGCCCGCCTCAATTTCAAATCCAAGCCACCAGCGGCAGCTGATTGGCTCGTTGGATACATCCAAACAATTACGTATTTTCACGTTTTGCAATGTAGACTCCTCAGGCCGACACTGGGTGGAAGCACCGTACTGCTTGTGAAAACAAAACCATCCGGCTTCTTAACTTTTACTGACAAAACCATGATACAAAATGTGAAATCAAGTCCGGACTGCTTTTTTTTTTTTAAATCTGTATGTACAAGTCGGTATCTTGATGTATTCCAGCACAAAAAAATATGCATTTTAAATATGCACATTCCCAACAATTTGTGGTGAAATATTGGTGGACACATTACGGATAGACCACACTGTGTCTTTATTTTATGATTTTTTAGGAATTACCATACACCAAGACAGCACTATATGGATGAGGCAAGTTTATTATACATCACTATATTATACATCGTTATTATAATCACTATGTGATAAATGTACAATATGTAATAGAATTAAAAAAAAATACAGCACTAGTTCAGCACTTTCCCCCACTGCACTCTTCATTACATGCATCTGTAAAACCTAATCAGTCCATACATGAGGTGAAATACAAAAATGACTTCACACAATACTTTTGCCAATATTTTAATGCGCATTTACTCAGCAGAGAGGGGCCATTATTTGCATGACTATTTTTTTCGTCTGTCATGTTTCTTAATAATATCGATTAGGTTATTTTTGTTCACCAGTGTGTTGACAGGCCCAAACTTGGCTTGTTTTTCTCTCCTTTGCTGCTCATGGAGGTGAGGTGAGTTGAGGAGCTGTGGGGGTAGGATGGTTCCTGTTGGTTTGACCCTGTTCACCACCCCCAGGAACAGACGTTTGTTGTTGTTGTTGAGAAAGGTGATGGCAGTTCCCCTGTGACCCAGACGGCCCGCTCTTCCCACCTAAACACAGACAAATGCGTCTTTGTGCTCAGTTGATTACAAATAAAGCAAAAATCTGTGTCTGCAAAACCACTAACCTGGTGGACATATTCATCCATGGTGTTTGGCATATCAAAGTTTACGACCACTCTGACATTAGCCAAATCGAGTCCTCTGCCAAGCACACCTGTGCTGATCACCACTTCAAAGTCACCATCCAGAAGCCCCTAAAGACACAAATTAATGAAAACAGCACTATTACACTTTAAACCACGAATAATGCAACATCTGTGTGGTACATCAGTTTGTCTTTGGCTTTGCAAAGACAGCAAACAAGAATTAAGAGTCATGAGTAACGTCACATTAGTCATGATATATCGGTCTGTTTGGATATAAGATGCACACTTTTTACTCAGAATGTACTCACTGCCCTCCATAAAACCAATTTTGACATCCTTTGATGTTCTCCAACTATTTTGCTTGGAAATAGGAGAATACTGAAATGCATATTCTTGGACTGTAATCAACTCTACCAAACAGGAGGATGGAATGTAGGAATACATAACTGGAGAATTGAATAGATTTAATATTTCAATGGTATGATTACCAACTAATTGGTAATCTGTCTCACAATGGAGAGAAATAAATGATCAAGCATAGCATGGCTGAATCCAGAGTAGATGAGGGCACAGCCAATTATCCTCTCAACCTCGTTCTGGGTAACACTGGCCTCACCTTGAGGATGCGGTTACGTTCCAACTGGCTCTTGTCAGAGTGGATTGCCACTGTATTGAGTCCTGTCACCTTGGCAACTGCTTCACATAGCAGATCAGCACCAAGCTTACAGTCTACAAATACAACAACTGGAGGCTGGTACAACTTGTTGTCCTGTAAAACCAGAGAAAAAAAGTTGTATAAATGTATTGCACTGCAGCACTGAAGAAAATAACTAAAAACGATCAAAAAAGTACACTTCTATACTATGTTGAATAAATTACTGGGATTCCTGGAGTGTAGCCATGACTTTGGGAATACCCATTTCCTGCACACAGAGCTGCAACTGCTTTGGGAGTCATTATCTAGTCAAGACCAACCTTTATGGAGAATTAAACATATTTCAAGAGAAAAAATTATATTCCGATATATTTACCGGTACATTAATTTTAAGTCCACAGTCATTATATCTACTAATTTAGTGCATTTTGTTTTTTAAAAGATTTTAAAAATGTGCATATTCACAACCACTTGTGTGTAGAACCTACATTGAGAATTTCAAACAGCTTCTTCTTTTTCGAGGGTTCCTCAACCCACAGTAAGATCTGTCTGACGTTGGCACAGGGCTGGTTCTTCTCTCCTACAGCAATGCGAATTGGATCACGCACCAGTCTGGCTGCCAGCTCCTCTGTCCCTATCGGGATGGTGGCTGATGCAAGGAGGGTCTGATGGCCTTCAGGGACGTGCTCTAAAACTTCTAGTACCTGTTGCTGGAAGCCTAACTTCAGCATAGTGTCAACCTGCAGAATTTCAAAACATAATATGTTAGGGCGCTAATTAGTCTTGGTAGCCAGTTACGGTCTTGATTCAGTGTCGGTCATACCTCATCAACCACAACAATCTTCACTTTATCCAGCTGTGCAGCTTTCTGCTTTAAAATCTCAAGGAGTCGCCCTGGGGTTGCTATGACGATCTAAAAAATGTTGCGTAGGACACATCGAAGAAATTTCAATATCAAGTGATTTTTTTAAAAGTGTGAAGCTGTTCACTGAGAGAGGAAGAAAAGTTGAATTCAATGAATACTTTAATGTTGCGCTTGAGGCGGTGCAGCTGAGGTGGGAGAGGCATGCCGCCCACCAGCAGGGCAGTTCTCATGTTAGGGAGGCCAATCACCACCTCTTTAGCCTGTCTCTCAATCTGTATGGCCAGTTCTCTGGTGGGGGTTAAGATGAGTGCCACCGGGCTCCCCACACTCTGTGATTGTTCCTTAAAGAGAGTATACACTTCAACTGAATAGACATGTGCCACATATGCAATACAAACAGTAACCAGTGGAGTAAATACAAAATGTACAATATGCTGATTATTTACATGTACGACATAAAACTAATCTGTTCATTATTTCACTGTGTTTTGTATAAGTATTTTTGTTCTTTTTTGAATTAAGATTATTCTACAAGTTCGAGGACTTGACCTGGCGTATGTACACGTTCTACAAAATGCTTATGGACCATAAGCATTTTAAATATCAATACATTTTCTACACCACTTGTCTTAATTAAGGTTGCAAGTAACTGGGGCCTATCCCAGCTAACTTTGGGTGCGGGCAGGGTATATCTTGAACTGGTCGCCAGTCAATCCCCGAACACATCAGAGACAACGTTCCATTTACACTCCTACATAGTAGCGTTTTCAATGAATCTCTAACATGCATGTGTATCTGGAGAAAACACAAGCATGGAGAGAATTTACAAACTCCACACAGAGATGAGGAGATTCGAACTCAGATTTCCTGACTGTGAGGTCGATGTCCTATAAATATTCCACATGCTGTCAAGTGTACCAGTGATTTCATGCCAACATATACAGAAGTATAAAAACTGAATATAACAATGATCTACGGTACCTTCATTGCCCTGAGGACAACTGGCAGGAGAAAGGCTACAGTCTTCCCCGACCCTGTGTCGGCACTTGTGATCACATCCCTGCCGGTGAGACCAACCGGCAGCATCTGCATCTGTACTGGTGTGGGCGCGTCGTAACCGGCTGACTTCAAGTTGGCGTTCAGAGTAGCAGGGAAGCCACAGTGTTCAAATTCTATGATTGGCCTCTTTACATCTGTCCCCTGGGTTTCAATCCCCAGTTCATGTTTAATATGCTGCACCTGCTGATCACTTAGCCCTGTTATGAACAAATCCTCCTTGTAGGAATAGTTTGATTCAAATGTATTTATAAAGGTTGGAGTGAATTCTGCTTGAGGACTTTCTTTGACTCCATTTGTGTCTTTCTGAATAAACACTTCTGCCCTAGTCCCTAGGCCCATTTGTGCTAAGTGGTGGGCTTTGCATTCCAGACTGCAAACATCACTGTCAGTGCTGTCACAAATGTATTCTCCATAGCGACCACACATCACACAGACAGGCTCTCCTGGCTCTGCCCATCTCTGATTCTTTTTGAACGATTTCACTGGTTCTTCCTCCTCTTCAGTACCACTTGAAAAACACTCCTGTCCCCCTTCTTGTAACGGGATCTCAACCACAGCAACAGGGTCTCTGCCTGGTTTTACTGAGGTATCTTCGACTTTGCCGTCTTTGAGCCCTTGGCCAACATGCGTCGTAGAACTGCCTTCGCCATTTGTCTGATCCTGATCAGCTTGACCTTTACTCTTCTTCAAAGTAAGGTTTGCGTCGTCTGCTGTTCTCTTCACTTTCAGGGCTCTAGGCATAAACATTTTACGGGCTATTAACCTGGGAACAGAAAGAATACACAAACAAGCATGATTTTAGCTAAATATATATGTCAAGTGTAACTTGTAGACTTACTATATGGGAGCACAAGTTAGATCGCTTTATTCGAGAAGCTGTTTCAAAGTCTCTTAACAGGAGATGATAGCGTATCATCGTGTGTGTGCCGCTGCTGGAGTGGCAGATATCGATAATCATACAGAAAGAGTAAGTAACATATTAAAGTAACCTTTGTGCTGAAAACATATACATACGAACCTGCAACATTCAGAAGCATCTCCAAATATATAACAAGATAAATTTGCCAGAATGAGGTAAGCTTTCTGCCGTTCAAAACAACCACACTACGGACGCAGAATAATGACGTAATACACCCAGCATTCTGGGAACTGTAGTTCATAAACGGTATGCACGCCTTTTGAAATTAAGTTATGTCTCCATCGGAAAAAAAAAACAGTATGCTTTCTGTATGCTTCGTGGAATAAATAATAAAAATATAAATACCGTACAATTGCCACCTCAGTGGTCAACCAGCTTTTGCAAGTATTGCAATGGCAGTGGATTTGTAATGAATTGTGGATGCATTAAATACAGTATGTTTTGAACATACAGAGAACCTGTCAATATGTGTTGTATGTATGCATGGATATACTGTATATACGGTATTACATTAAGTGATATTGATTGTACATGTGGGAAAAAAATGTATGCATTATTACACAGTGTCCAGGAGTATACAGTACAGTATTAAGTAAATGCTGAATGGGATAAAAGATGATCTGAAGGTAGCCAAACATCAGTGTCATAAACCACTAAATTGCCACATCCTGCAAATGATGAACTGTGTGCTAACACCAGGTTATCACTTCATACTGCCAGTGCGAATACTGTACTACCAATCAGTCCATTTTGTATGTTCTTGTTAATTTTGTCAATGTAGTTATTCCCAACAAAGCACACATTAATGTGGTGAAAGAAATTAAGACAATTTCTGATAATTTGACAGAAAATTAATATGTATGAATTAAAAAGATATCTTTGTTACACTATCTAGCCCACGACATATAGTGACAATAAAATACTCTTCCATTAGATGCCAAACAAGTGCAACAAATCTGTGAGGTATTTAACTGTAACAACAAATAAGTCACGCTTCCTCCAAGTACAGTTTATCAGCATTGTGTTCGATCAACAGGCCCAGATTTTACAGTGAGTCCATCATAATTAAAGTATGAATACTTTTGATAACATCTTTCTTTGATGGTGTGCCGTGGGATTTATTTCTAACGTAAAATGGATGCCTTGGCACAAACGTTAGGAGCCAGGTTTAAAATGCACAGAAAAATAACTTTTCTGACTTTTCATGGAAGCACCGTGTACGCATGCGCACTAAGCCCAATTTGGGTGCAGAGGTTGGTTGGAGGCTGGAGCGTGGTTGGAATGGCTCACCGCTGCAGGGAGGCAAACGGCACCAACGAGTTAAAGGCACGAATCATGCCGATTTTCTTCACGGGAACAAATGGAAACGAAAGGAACGAATCATAGCAATCCATTTATATCAGAAAATGGAAACCGTCACATTTCCGACTCAAATGAAGAACAATTTTCCCGGTGAATTTCAAGGAAAGCGACCCTGCTGCTTTGTGCGAAGAAACCCGTCTCATCTGATGAATGGATGAAAAACACCACGATTCATTGTGCCAACGAGACATATTTGAGCGACAGTACTCTCTACAACAACGTCGTCACATTGATTTTTTCATTTGACAGCTACTCATTGTTTTCCATCGAATTCCATCGTGATGCTTTGCCGCTGGTTCGGTGCTGCTTTGCTGTGAAGGACTGAAGAAAACGACTGCGTGGAAATATGGGTGAAGTTCAGGATCAAAATAATGAGAAGAAGGTCTTCGTTGCTCCAGCTATCAAGTCTTTTGAACACTATGATTTCTCCCGTGCTAAAATCTGTTGCAGTCTCTCCTGGCTTCTGTCCAAAGCATATGGAAGAGGTAGGTGCATCAGCTACCTGCATCTTTGTTTTTGTTGTAGACGTGACCGATCCAACACCATTCATTTTTTTAACGTGACTTCGAGGCTATGCTTGTATATCACAAAAATAACGCAAGACACAAAATACAAAACAATATAATACAACTTTATATTACCTGAGCCACATTGACGAAGTAATCTTTATGTCCTCAGATGCATTTTATGCTTCATTCGAAAAACACTACGTTTGTTTTTGTTTTTTTAAGATTAAATACATGCAATTCCCTGAGTGGTTTACAGGGATCAATATGTTACAGATGGTAACTCAGTGTACTGGGTGTCAAGGAGTAACCTTGAAATCACTGCACACATATGCTTAGAACAGTAAAGATCATCATTATGTGTGGCACCTCAGATGGTTACTATAATAATGTTTATTTCAGATGGCGCTGCACAAATGACTGAATATTCAGTTTTTTTAAAGTGTCATTTTATAGTGTGCCTTATGGAGATTACTCTCAATGCTGGACATGTAAATAAATTGTTGGCTGTTTTGTATAACCAATGCATATATTGAATAGTAAAGAATAATAATTAAGTTGTTATTTTTACAAACTGTCAGAGTTATGATCCGACTGGGTACAGAATATTCACCTAGAGTAAAAGGTACTAATATAATTTAATTGCACATATTACATTATGTAATTAGCTTCAGTTCTTGATTTTGTTTTTCACAAAAATTATAGTTGTACTCCTTTCCTCTCACAATGAGTTTTTGGTGGGAAATCTCTAGGCCTTTATAGAGGCCACCTGAGGAAAAATAAGTTTTAAAAATATATTAGGAATATCTGCCTTGTATTCTTGGCTTCACTGCTTCAGCATCTTGCATTTATTAAGAACAAGGACACCTCAATTAGACATTTACCATTTTAAGTTTTTTTTCTTAAATACCCTTATTCAACAGATGTGTATGCACCTTTCAGTTTGTTAGATTTGTATTTTACACCACTATTAATAGAGATTGCATTAAAAAAACTGTACGTCAGCGGTTGTACTGTCCTTTCAGGTTACTTTCATCGACAAAAGAACTGATAAATCCTCTTTGTTGGAACAATATGCCATCATAGCTGCAAATCACACAACCCATTGTCAGGTTGCTGGAAAAGCCCGGCAAACACGAGTTCCCTTGCGGATCCTCAGTTCATATTCTATCAGCACTGAATGAAATTGGCTAGTTCCAAAAATATGGCCCTCCAGAGATTTTGAGCGAGGGAGCAGGCTTTTTTCCAGATCTCAGCCTACGCTATTCTTTTCAAAATGCTTCTCATGCATCTCCCTTATGGCATCCATGCAGGAGTGCTGTGTAGTTAATATAAGCCTACCCAGCTGGCCAGATGATTTCTCAAACTGAAGCAAGTATTCAGAATACCCTGTACAGACTAAACCTTATGAACAAAGTCCCACTTAATGTAACATCATTTCAAAATTGCATTTAAAATCCTGTCAATTTTTTTCTGGGCACCCTGTATTTAACATTTATATGAATGTATTTATCTTTCTGTTAGCCTACATGTGCTAAAAAATGGCAAAGTGGATCCGTAGAAACAAAATATAATTGTGATTCATTCCTTAATCGAATGTTGAGAAATGCTTAACAGAATGAATGTCCAACCACATCATGCTCACTGGGTGGGAACTAAATCAATTTCTTCTTCTCATGTTGAAGGCTGCTATGCTAAGCTTACCAGGGGCAAAATGGGATTCAGTATGGTCCAATGACAAGAGGGCCTCAACCACCAGAGCCATGCCACCAATTTGAATTGGTTATATCACATCATGAAGCAGATGAGCATTTCCCATCAGTTACAGTGGCCAGTTCTCATAACTCAGCTTTGATGTCTGACTTCCTTGTTAATGGGACTGCAGCAAATATTCAATATTTGACTAGAATCAATACTGCACCACATAAATGCAAATACTAAAAGCTTTTGCGCAAAGAAGGCTGTGTTTTTGTACTGACAAAGAGTCCATCTGTAGATTACCTCATTGACAGTGGTCATGAGGATGTGATTTATCGACTGACTGACTGTTTAAATTTTGTTGGGTTGGGGAATGTAAGAAATTGGCCTGGACCATTACCATGTGCTCTCCACAGAAAATTATTTTTTACATCTATTTCTCTGGTGCTAATTTTGGATTGGATAAACATTCCCAATAATCTTCATATAATTTCCGTCTTTGCTTTCATCACTGATGTGACTAAAGTCAATCAATTAATTGTCGTTGGGCCCTAACCCATTCCCTTGAATCATAGTCTTAATTTGCAAAAAGCGCAGCAGTGGAAAGTCAAATCAAATTTATACACGTTGCCCTTAATCATAAAAGAGTCAACAAGGGCTTCACATGCTCGTAGTTGACAAATATTAATGGCATCCCCTGGTCTTACTTCCACAGGAGGGCAAGGAAAAAAAAAAGAGGAAAATCAAAAACCTTGAGAAGGGCCACAGATGAGAGAATCCCCTTTCCATGATGATCAGGGAGCAATGGATGCAGAGTGGGCAATGTGTCACACAATATGGTGCTGTACAATGTTAGAATAGTATAAGAGTCAATTTAATAAGATGAAGCGCTGCAGGAAGACGCCTTTGTTGAGGAATCTTATTTTGTTGGCAAAATGAAAGCTAAGACCCAGGCAGTGTCTGGGAATGTACAATCTTCATCTGTGAACATGCACACAACTACGCAGCGCACAAAGAAACACACACACACACACACACACACACACACACACACACACACACACACACAGCACTCTTTTTGATGAGACAGGGTGTTCCCAGGGAGCTGAATGTTGAGATACAGACTAGATGAATCAATAGAGTGGTGCTCTGACTGCGGTTGCCATAGCGACATTCCAGGTTTATCCTTGAATATCCATGTCAGGCATGGCAGTGGACAGTGAATAAGGGCTGTGAAAAATCATTGCCGGAGAATCTGTGCACTACTGTGAATATGTCCAGGTTGTCCAGTAAAGCCAAGAATTGTGGCAAATAAAGATATTGTTCAGTGCTTCAGAAAATAAATGTGATATTCTTAGTCAGATTATTGCAATTTTTGCCCATTTGTTAAACAGACAGTATCCCAGAAGACATGAAAGAGCCCTTCTACACGGACCAATATGAGCAGGAGCATCTTAAGCCGCCTGTAGCCAGTCTCCTGCTGTCTGCTGACCTCTACTGCCGAGCCGCCAGCCTCATCTTGAAGAACGATCCTGCCGAGCCTCTGCTGGGCCACGATGCTGTCATTCAGGCTCTAGCCCAGCGAGGTCTCCATGTCACTGACCATGACAGAATTGTCACGGACAGGGACCTTCGAAAGAGGCCCCTGCAAATGGTAGGAGCTTTTTTTTTATTTATTTATTTTTTAAAATAATTTCAAATGTTTCTGTATTGTTATGTATATCGTTGTTAGGAATGTATTTTTTTGGTCACCTACTATGTGTGAGCAAAATTGAAAATCACAAACAGAGTAATTTGTTCACTACCAAATGACATACTATTCTATTGAACAAACTTCAAGCCAACGTAACTACCTTGAACTGGAACTATAAATCGAATAACTGTTCAACCAGCCTAGCACTTACCAGGTTTTCTACAAACCTCACACTCATTCAGTTGTCATACTTATCTGCCTACCAACCGATTGTAATCATTTATTATTTTAGCTATTCATCAAGATGGCTTTGGTGGCTGCCAGTTAAGCAGGAATTGAGCATCCTTGTTAGTTTGTATCTGTGTCTCAATAGGAGGCTTTACTGCCTCAGTGAGCTGCAAGTTGCTGTGTGTTAGAAACGATTAGCACACAGTATGCCTGCAGTCTGTTTGCAGAGTCTTGCTGCTTTTAATTTCCCTTCCATGCTAATTAAAAAGTTATTTAAATTCTGCTGGAACTTCAGCAAGACAGCACGTTATAGTTGCTATCCTCCAAACAATTTTCAACTTGGCAAAAGATTATCAGTTTTATACGTGTTTTTTTTTGGAGGGGGTGGGGGTCCATATTTATGCACCCGGAGTTCCTAAAATCTCTGGATGTTGTGCGGTTCTCCTGGTTGACACGCCTCTGCGATGAACATCGAGGACAGTGCCTCTGGAATGGCAGAGTGAGGGGCAGTGACCCTTGTTTTTAACAAGTGGGATAGAAAGGTGTGTCCCAACTACAGGAGGATCACACTGCTCAGCTGCTCTCATACGGTCAAGTCAGTGGTGCCGAGAGGTGAGTCTGTCGGGAAGTCGACCCACAAAGGAGGAGTAGTGTGGTTTTCCTCCTGGCTGTGGAACAGGAGACAAGCTCTACACTGTCTGCAGGGTTCTCATGAGTGCATGGGAGTTCCAAATGTAACTGGGGCATTTCGAAGCAAAGTGTGTGGCAGAGTATGAAAATCGGTCCCTCCAAATCTTCGACCAATGTCCTCAGTCAGAAGAGGGTGGATATGACCCAACTTCGGATAAGCCAAAGCAAGCCGTCCTAACTGAGGTCTGCGGTAGATTCATTACTATTGAGCAGTGTGGACAAAAAATATTTGGAATAAGCAACCTCTGCATGATTGCTTTAGTGCATAGGTCAGCATCATCTTATTTCGCTGATGATGTTTTTCTCTTGACTTGCTGTAGCTAACAACAACTGATGTTTCAGAGCTGATTTTGTGTGCTTTTGATTTTGCATGATTCTTCAGTCCTCTTTCCTCAGCCACGTTAGAGAGGCCATGACATGAAGAACTATTTTTGATGTATATCAATCAAATTTCCAGTAAGGTGCCACGGTGCATGTGGCACCCGCAGAATGCTCTTTAAGGAGGGCGGTTGCCAGTATAAAACATGTGACAGTAGTTCAGTGGCTGAAGTTTAAATGCTATGTCATCATCTTTGTTTTTAGACATTAAAATTGATAGGGCATGTACTTTTACAATTAATAAAGTAAGAGGTGCACTGATAGATCATCCGGGATCAGAATCACCACAGATTTCCTTAATTTTGGGGATCAGTGATTGGCCGATCCTTTAAAATAAAAAAAATAAAAAATCTTGTCCACCGGCTTTATCTCCCTCCGCAGAGGTCTGAAAAGGTCAGCCATTGTCCTCTTCTTCTGTGAGATCACTGATAGTCTGTTCATTTTTATTGAGATAACTCCTTCGTGTGCAGTTAAAACATTTTTTTATTGTTTGACAGGTATTGTTCAATGTTTTACAACAAAACAATATTGGAACATTGAAGTTGTATGCTGTTGGTTATGAAAAAAAAAAAATCGGCGTCTGAAAAAAATCGGGACCAGTAAGTCAGGCTTTTTAAAGGTTGGTATCGGTGATTGGTTAGAAAATTGTGATCGGTGGACCCCTAATTACAATGTCTTTCATATTCCTTCCATCCATTCATTCATCCATCTTCTGAGCTGCTTATCTTGATGAGGGTCGTGGGCGTGCTTTGGGCAAGAGAAGGCACACACCATTAACTGGTTGCCAGCCAAACGAAGGGCACAAATAGACAGACAACCATTCACGCACACATATCCAGACCTATGGGCAATTTAGAGTCTTCAATGAACCTATCATGCACGTTTTTGGAATGTATGAGGAACCAGGAGTACCAGGAGAAAACCCATGCTGGAGCTTGGATTTATACCCACAACCTCTGCACTGTGAGGTGGATGTGCTAACTAGTGGTCCACTGTGCCGGCCCTTTCATACTAATTTTTTATTAATTATTCAATGTATAATATTATAATGATTTCATATAATTCTAAACTACCAGTACTGCTCGTGTATCCCAGAGCAAGCGCCATTTTGAATAACCGCACTTTGCGAAATTTGGTTAATTGGCCAATAAATAGCTAACGGAGTAAACATTGAAGACGTGTACTTGGATGACTCACAGATTTTCATTTCAAGATGAGTCTTTCTGACTGCATTGCCATTGAAACGGTGAGTGAGACGACTACTATGCCAATACAAAAAGGCCAAATAATTGGAGTGGCGAATGCTAGCTCCATGTTCTCTGACATTTATATGTGTGTTTTTTTAAGACATATATTCGCACACAAGTGCAAGCTCTCTCCAGAGCTTGGCATTCTTTGGCATTTGTGTACTTTATCGTGTCTTTTGATGCTTTGCTTCAGTTGCTTCATCAGCTGGAATGGTTCATGGCTTTGCTTGCAGGCATCCAAACAGATGTAACTGGAAATCAACAAGCACTGCTTTCTGTCTTCTCTTTGCTCATCGCCTCTGCTGTGGACTTCATTAACACAAATGCATCTATTCACCATTTTAATCTCATTTTCATACTTCTATAGCTACTTTAAAAATTGATTGTGGACATGTCTTTGTCATTTGAAGATTTACAGCACAATATAATGACACTATTTTTACATTTAACAAGATGTTGTCAGGGTGATGATGATTGATAGTCCCTCCTGACAAAGATGAATTTCGCAGTAATACTTGACACTGAAATGGAAATTAGTCTCCGGTGGATGTAAGAAAAGCCCAACCACGTATGGTTTCTCATGAAACTGTATCGGAGAAACCATAAAACTGCCAGGTTTGTTGTCATGCATAGTACGGTTAAGGTACGCTTTCAAGCCAAGAGGCATCGACTGTGTACCGTCAAGTTGTCATTAAAGCCATGACGTTTTATGATCAATACATGCCTCTGAGCATGCCCATCCCCAAATCATTAAATATTTATGGTCAAGAGGATTTTTTTTTCTTTTTAAAGAGATAAGGCGATTAAAAATATCCTCACATGTTTTGTATATTTCTTGACTGATATTATGAAAACATGTCAGTTCTGTTAAACTTGGCATTGAGGAGAGATGAACACGATTCTTTCTGCCGGTTTCCATCTCTGCTGCTTCCATCACACGATTGGGATTGCGTTACCATGGTAACACGCCGGTGTGCAAGGTGTTGTTTTTAAGTGTGGGTGGGTGGTTGCGAGGTGTGGGCAGTGTTCATGCTTGCACATATGTTCATTGTGCATGATGAAGGCGGTAAAATGTAACCTCCATGGCAGAGAATTCTGAGATGCTGAATTCATGAAAACATCATATGGAGGCTGATCAGAAATTCTGATCAGACGCTTTAGCTCTCCCCTACATGCACGTAAAAGGCAGGCAGAAAATAATTCGACTCAATATTAAACCGACGTCCACCGCCCTTATTATTACATTCTGCGATTGTTCTAATGCATAAAGATGAGTGGAAGCAGCAGGGGAGAAGGAAAGCTGATCCAAGTACTCTCTGTTTTCGTCAGCCTCAGTGAAGTCACAGCCAAGCATGTTGTGCTCAGTGCCAGCGGCGACACAATATGGATGGGTAGGCAGTTTTCTTTGTACTCGACTGCTTCTTTCTCTGGCTCACCACTGTAGACTGCCATTGTTTAAAATGCCAACAGGATGGATGGATGATATTTGTTATATTTATGTTAACTCGAGCTGTGCGGTCGGTTGAGCTGCTGTTGTAAGATTGTGAAGCAGACTGTCTTCCCTTGTGGACCCCGGGGGGGTGACGATAGCCCCCCGCTGGGGTCTTCCAAGAATAATTCTCAGAATTCCAAACATCTATTGTTTGGTATCCTAGTAATTGGCTTACCTGAATAATGCACCACATTGCAATGACCGTACAGATTCAAATTGTAGTTTGATGATACACATTCCTAATTGTTTATTTTTACCTTTGATGGCTAAAAATGCAAATGATTTTTGAGTTTTCCCCACACACTGTGCAAATCTTCATAACAATCTTTCTTTGTACAATAATTGAATTATGATGAATTATTATTGCAATAAATGAAATGCTTTCGAAAGAAGGAAGCAAAATGGAGGAGCAGGCAATAAAACTACAAAACACATGCCTTGTTTACTTAGTTTACTAGTTCTTACTGATCGAGAAATAGGAGTCTCTGTGTTCAAAAGAACGCAATGAAATTAATGTAATGTAACGTAATACTAGAGACCGTGTTGTTAATTGTCTCTTGTAGTGGTTGACATAGCTGGCTGTTATGCTGCTGACATGGCCTCAATTCCCACACATTGCACTTTTCACAATTCAACTTTTGATGCGATACTGAATCAAAAGTGTCCTGGGTTTTCTTGGTCGTACCCTAAATTTGTGAAAATACTCACTTTTTTGTTTGTGTAGCTTTAATAATATCTAATCAATTAGTAATTCATATTTTTTAAACATTTTCCCTGTATGTAAAGCTGCATAAAAGGATTCTATTTTTATATTTATAATATTTTTGAGTATCGGAATAGATATTACTATATTTTTATTAGATTCATTACAGCCCTGTATTTGCACAAATAGCAAAAACATTTTTTTTTTTAATTATGATTATTATTTTGAGTCTGAGTATGATTCCAGACACTGCATACACTTATACTGTACAGTCTTTTACGGTAGAGGTTCCTACATAATTTCAGGGTGGTTTTTGGAATGGTGACTGTATACAACTGAAAGTCTCATCTCCCTAGGCAATTTCAGACCACAGTTCTGTCATCTAAAGCTCACAGTTTGGCAGGCCATTCAATGACCTGCACATCATCTTTTAACAGAATTTTGAGACAGAGACATGGTCACATTTAGATTTAGACTCAATTCTGATCCGAGATTGTAACAAACAAAACTGTGGTCTCTGGCATTCAGATGACCATTTCATCTTAATTGAAATTGAAGGCGACTGACATTTTAATTTGATTTTCATGGTGAGAAAAAGCTATCGCGATTACCCTAGTGACTGTGCACTGTGTGGAGTAAAGTGTAATAACACGGTTCTTAATTTATCTGGGATTGTACTAGTTAATCCCTAAAATCTTAATCCTTCATTTAACTAGGATTTGTTAAATAATTATCATCACTGAAGCTCCAAAATCTTGTTCTTCCAGGTTTGCCTCGTATTAAAATAGCAACCAGTTGTCCTAATTCTATTGTCAAAATAGTTTACACCAACAACATTTTTGATCCTTTGCTCTCACCATTGGGCATGAAAATAGTATTCCATTATCTTCTTTAGACTCACTGCTTGGCACACAGCGGCTATGGGAAATTTTGGCTAACATATTTACATTCTGCAGAAAAGTGTTGTTTTTTTTTTTTTTTAATCTGTGTGCATGATTAAAAATTCTTAAGCGTTATTGTGAGACCTGAGTAAAAATAAACGGCTGCGGGTCACCGAAATGTTGGAAAATACTGCAGAGAAAATGTCCTCATTGTCACCCTCAATGTCGATAAGAGATGTGGGCCGCTGAGTGCTTTTCCATGTCCAGCTGAGGATGCACAAAGTTACTTGAAGCTTGACAGATTCTAATTTTAACCTTTGACTGCAGCAAGGTGCCTGCTGGCCTGGATTGGAAGGTTGTAATACAGAACTCACCAGATTATTTTTACATTTTACCCTCCGGTATCACAGACTTGTGTTTTCCAGGCAAAAGGAGGTCAAGTGGACTGCAGAGCAGTATATTATTTCGTGGTTCAGTTGGTTCGTTTTCCCACAGGATGCTCTTAGACTTAACTATACACGATTCTGTAATCAGCATAGTTTTCAGTTTTGAACTCACTGAGTTTCAAGGGCAGGCTGCCATGTGAGGAAATTAACCACGGTGAGTTGAAGATGCACTTTTAGAAATCTTGTACATTTTCTCAAAAATTGACAGGACGTCTCGTAGTGCGGTGCACCATATGTATGAATGCATGTCGGAGTTGCCGTTCAAAGTCAAAGTCAACTTTATTGTCAAATATGCGTTCGTCCTTATTTCAACTTCTGTCCTATTACGTTCGCGTTGTCATTCTCATCCCCATCTGATTGCATTAGCCAAAGTAATAATATGGCCACTGGTCACCAGATTGACGAGCAGTGTACAAACATTTTTTTTTTCGGTCTGTCGGAGGGTCCCCTCCTCTGCTCGAAACAAACCCTGTGTAGTTGCATGGCGAACAAAACTAAGCAAGACGCTAGACAAAAAAAAAAAAAAATTACCATCATGCATCGAATTTAGAGGACTGAGTAACATCGTCACTAAGCGTAGATATTCACTCCCCGCCATCTGTGTCCCCTCCTTTGAGCCCCTGAACCAAGCCACCGGTTTCCCCAACTCTACTCTGAGCTGTTGGTTGTGGTGGGCGCCTGTTGGCTTGAGAAAACTGTGAGCCCCTATTTGGTACTAACAGTTCACAAAAACCCCACATACCTAATTTCCCTTCAGGCTCGTTGGGCCTTGTTACTGGGGTGCTTTCATTTCTCTCTGTTGAATTGCCCTGCTGCGCCCAGCCCTGCTCTCTGTGTTTGCTTTGTATTTTTGTATATAAAGACTTTTTACTTGGCCACTTCCGTGTCCTGCCTGCATCTGAGTCCAAATTCTATTCGTCACGCAACAGTGAATACCTATTGATCTCATTTGTTTACGCATATATATACATATAAAACAACTTGTGCTGCTACATTGACCATTCTCTTATAAGGCCCTGGTGGCACTGAATTAACTAAGACGAGCTGGTCTGTGGTCAAATAATAACCCTGGTTCTTCTATGTTGACATTTTATGTCCTCAGACTTTCAGCGGGTTTAAATCAATATCCGGAGATTGCTCCTGAGAGGAGATCAGATGAAAGAGGGAGCTGGCCTCTGAGGAGTTGAATCAAATTCTGACTGGACTTGCCTGGAGCTAATCGTTTATTGTGGCGACAGCCCTAAGAAATGTAGCTGTAACCGATAACATGGTTTGTTTGTTTGTATTGGTTGGTTAGTGTATCCTTGGGGGAAATTTACCAAGTGCTTAGACAGATTCAATAAAGGCGAGGAAGAAACATCTTGGCAGTCTATTATTAAGTGGGTTTGGTTTGCTGCTGCGTTGCTCCAGACTCCAAATTTAGCATTACACGAAGCATTCAACATCACAGAGAAAGCGGATTCCATACAGTACACAGTCAAACTATACTCTTACATTTGGCAGATAGCGTATGGTTTGCTAAATCTCATGAGGTAACACCTCCTGGGCTACTAGGCCTGTCTCACAAAGTAGAAATAAAATGTATTGATTTTGATGGAAATTCTGGTATCTGGTAGCAACATTAATAACAACTAACACTGTATTAAAATACCTAACAAGACAATCAATGCAACAATGAAATATTAAATGGTTGTAAAAAGATACAAGTTGTATATTTTTTGCAAAGTAAAATGGAATGGCGAAATGTGCAACTTTATCTGGTTGCAGGCCGAAAAAAAATTGTTTCAGTTGGAAAGCAAGAAAATGTACCTCCGTTCTCATTTGTTCAATATAATTTGGCTAATTCTTGAAAATATGTATGAAATCTATTTTACATTTCACAAAATATGTCACTTGCGATTTATTGTTCAAATTTCAGTCACATGATTATAAGAACTACAGAGTATTGTATTGAATGTTGTTCTCATCGGCTGAACTGTTGTGTTTCAGCAGACTAATGCATTTGTTTTCAAGGCAACACCCACAGGCGAGCGTTGCGTTGCACTGTGGACAGTTTCAGATTTACTCTTCAATTAGCACTATTTTGACAAATTGTTCCAAAACATAAACTACGTTTTTGGTCTTGATTATTCAGACAGACGTTGATTGATGTCCACAAACATTGTGGATAATAATGTAACTCTCGTTTTATTGTCATTGCACTGTTATAGGAAAGAAACGATTTTGTCCATTAGTCACTCCCTGGAAGAAGCAAGTGGTAAAAGTCAAAATATCTGAAAAACATGTCAATATCATAGCTTTGTGTTTGTCCTCTCTTTCTCACGAATGACACAATCTAGCACCGTGAAACAAGTGATGCTGAAATTTAATTATCACACCCCCCCCCCAATTTTTCTTTTTGCAGAGTGCCCATCTGGCAATGATTGATTCACTGATGATGGCATACTCGCTTGACATTCTGATTGTGGAGAGGGTGATGGCCAGCATTTGCCAGTATTCATCATGCTTCTCTGAAGAGGACACTCCATACGACACCGAGGATGCGGTCACCACCTGGATCAACAAGGTTGGTGGGAGACAGTATTATTTTAAGTTTTGTATGTGCAAAAAGAACAGCTACAGTAATGCAGCAATCACGATACTGCATTAAAAAAAGTAACTAGTGTGCTTTTGTTACTGTGTCCTAAATTCATGCAGTCAGCCCTATTGAATACTTTCCCCGTAAGCCACACACGGCCGTAAAGTCCTGCTGGTCAGACATATGGCTCTCTGTAGTTCGCTGGCAATCCAGAGGTCTAAAATACAGGAGACAAGTAGTTGAGTGAAAAACACAAAGCTGAGAAAAGTAATATTTGTACACGTTTTTTTTTTCTCTCGATTTTAAACATTGTCCCAACTTCATTGGAACTTGGGTTTACGATATTCTCTAAACTGTTCCATGCCCACACTTCACTTTATTATTAATTATTTGCCCAGCATGGTCTGTCTTGACGGTCTCAGATTGGATCTCATTAGGTTGTGTAGTTATACCTAAGGTTTGGCCAGTAGGCGTATATACAGACTATCATGGAAATTATTCTTCGTGTGGAAACCTCAAAGTATGTATAATTTCACCTAATTATTATGAGTGCTTTTGCTGGCAAAGCAAAAGTTGATCCTGCTTCTGCTCCGTTTTAGATTAACGAGTATCTGAAAGACACCGTGGCTCAGGAGAAGAAAAAGAAAGAGGCACAGATTGCAGAGACTGCAGAAAGTCATCGGGTGAGTTGTTCTCCTTTCTCAGCAGAAGCATGCAGATTTTGTTTGACTGACGGCTCGAGACAAGCTAGGCAAATCCACTTTATGAATTTAAGTCCCTGACATCTGTGTCACTCGGCTATCTGGAAGCAGCTTCCTCGACACTTAAGCCACTCAAATCCTTCTTTCATCAAAGGAATCACAAAAAGTTTGGATTTAAATCGTCACAAGAGTCCCTCACTAAATCTGTGCCTTAACCAAAACATCTGCACTCGCTTGTCTTATTAGGCCAATACTTTCTTTGTGTGAGGCCACTAAATGTCCAGCCTGCAGTCCTAATTTGTTACATAATGGTGGTAGTCATTGCAAATGCCATAAGGCAGAATGCTCAATTTGTGCTTGCTTGTGTGCTCATGTCTGTCTGTCTGTCTCTGTGCGTGACTGTTCATGTGCACGCCCGTTTCTGTGTAACTACCCAATCTTGTGGTTAGGTGCGTGCCTCACTACCCAGTCCTGTGCCCGCAGATTTCACTGTTGGATGCAGATCTGACCGGTCAGATTGCAGAGGCAGCACAGCAAGCCCTTACTGACCTTTCACATTATTTCATCATGACTTCTTTCAGACTCCAAAAGCTTCCAATCCAAGTTGAAATCTAAAATATCAGAACACACAAAACACACCAGTTAACAAAAGTTGATTCCAAAAGGAAAGATAAAAACTCAGTTGTGTTGCATGTCGTAATATCAGCACACAACATGTTGAATTAAATGTTGTCGTGCTGCTGTCACACTGTATTTAACCGATGCAGCTATCACTGTTCCATGTACGTTGTCCACAGGGGAAGAGTTTTACGAGTCAAACTGAACCACTTAATGAGTTTTGTGTCCTTTTAATGGCTGTTTTTGCGACTTTTAGTCCACTTCGGTCGTTTTAACGTCTTTGTCTGAAACACATTGTTCCATATGGACACCAATATATGCAGTTAGAATGCCAACCAAATGAAACTCGAGTAATATAATGATTATTCTAAATTAAACAAAAAGGGGGGAAAAAACACGCAAGACTGTTGTTCTGCTGTAATAGCAACCATTCTACTGTGTCTTCTATCCTATTTTCAGTGACGCAAGGAGACACATTTGGCCTCCAGGGGCATTCGTATTAAGGACAGATCATATTTTTAATGTCACCAAATAGGAGAATGTGTGTGTGTGTTCATGCAGCGCAGGCTGATGAGAACCTTACCTCTCCCCTGGGGGTTTTGATTTGGTCGTCTTAGAAGATTTTAGTCACAGTTTGAGCCCATTTAGCCTAAGACATGGCACATCACTAAAAATAGGTGACAATTATGCCATCTTATTCAAACACCCAGGTCAGACCATTTCTCCTTCAATGTGTACCTCTACAATGTGTGCATGTTTTTTTTTTTTTTTTTTTTTTACAGTCAAGTTTCTTTACGGTTTATTTATCTTTTGGTTAGTACACTGCATGCAGAATGTGAAGGATTCAGACCAAAAAAAACAACAGGAAACTAAACAAATTAGTTTGAACTCTGACAGAATGCAATTTAATTGAAGTGATTTTAACTTTTTATTTATTTTTTTCTGATCTGCACCAGTTTTTGGTCTCAGAGTATCAGATCCTGGTTACAAAATATTAGGTTATTATATGTTTGGTGGCGGCCCGGTGGTCCAGTTGTTAGCGTGTCGACCTCACAGTGCGGGGGTACCGGGTTCAATTCCAGCTCTGTGTGGCGTTTGCATGTTCTCCCCGGGCCTGTGTGGGTTTTCTACAGGTACTCCAATTTCATCCCACATTCCAAAAACATGCATGGCAGGCTGATTGAACACTCTAAATTGTCCCTAGGCGTGAGTGTGAGTGTGGATGGTTGTTCGTCTGTGCGATTGGCTGGCAACCGGTTCAGAGTGTCCCCCGCCTACTGCCCAAAGACAGCTGGGATAGGCTGCAGCACCCCCCCCTGCGACCCTTGTGAAGGTTAAAGTGGATCGGAAAATGGATGAATGGATGTTTGGTGCTTCAACATTATTGATTAAAATTTTGTATGTTGATTTATCAATAAGATACTACAGTGCACCTTAAGATACTTTAGTGTGTTCATTTTTGTCTTCAACAAGACGACTATTCAGGGCAGTATAACAAACGTCCATATTCCAAATCCTCCATCTCGTTTCACGCTCCCCTTCTTCCAGAATCTCTGCGACCCCCCTCCTGCCACCACATGTCCAATTTGGACTCAACAAAGAGCAGTGGATCCAAAGCCCTTACAGTTTTTAGCTTCTTGTTGTATGAGGAAATAATAATTGTCTTCCACTTGCAAATGTTCTTTGTAATTGCACATAATTTAATACTTCATGCAATGAGTGCTCGATAACATTTCTGAAGCCACTGATAAGAATGAAAGTTATAATAAAATATGTTCTTTTTCCTTGTTGTTTCGATGCTATATCATGCATTTAGAATGGCAGAGATGAAAAAAAATGTTATTATTCAGGAAACTAAATCACCTTTTTCACCAAATTTTGCAAGCACTTATCCTGCTTATATTCGCAGTTTAATGTTCTTCAAAAAACAATAAATAAATACACAACTCAGTATGATGCAATGCTGTTTTACATCACTGCAAACTACAAGCGCAGGAATAAACACCTTGTTACGTAGATCACACAAGGGTTAATACATCTGTGACAGTTTCAATCAAAACTGAGCATTGTATCTTTGTAAATGTACCGGGTAACATTTTTTTAAAAATGAGTGTCAGCAATCAGTACAAGAGAAGTCTCCTACTACTCCCTTAAAGAATGAATACCCCCTCTTTTGGTAGGTCTCACTACATCACGATGGAGTGCTTTATGTTGTGGTCTCTAAAAATATATCGCTCTTCTTAACCCTATCATTTACTTCCCCACTTGCAAGACTTGTATGATGCGTCATCAAGTTATATTCCCGTACCGTATTTTCACGACCATACGGTGCACCGAACTAAAAGGAGTACAGTAGTGTCAGTTACAGGTACTATTTTTTGTATTTAGCACATACACAAGAGACATTGTATTATTGGACGCAGGCATGGTAAAAAGCATGGGCGTCATTAGGCCTATTTTAGGGAGGCTTCAGCCTCCCTAAAAATGTCTTTAGCCCCCCTAAATAATTTCATTGCATTATTTTAAAAAAGTATTATTTATTTTTCCTGTACTTTTGCTAATATATTGCATCAAATTCAATGCAATGTGGCCATTTTAAATTATATTTTGATAACCTGCCATTATTGTAATGTTAAATCTCCCAGGTTTCCTGAACGCAACAGGTGTTGCGTTAGCATTTGACGTGTCTGTCACCATCGCCACATCAAATGCTAACGCAACAACTGACAGTTCATTGCCGAAAGTCAGGTTGAGTCGACAGCATGGATATTCGACAGTTTTTTAGAAAGGTAAATTAAGTATTCAATGCATCCATGCTGGTAAAACTAGTGACTAT